ATAAATATTGGATTCTAATAAGTTGGAAAAACCATAATACTGATATTCAAGCAACAAAAAAAAGCTATTAAACGAGCGATTCAAAAGCAAAGAAAGAAAATGATACTTTTATTTGATACAAAGTTTGCAATGACGTGATCCGTAAAAATGCTACTACATTGTGAAGATTGGGGATACCCAAAAACAAGAGTAGATTGACAAGTTTTTCCAGTTAAATATAGTTAGTAATCACGTTTTCGGATATAAATTTGAATAATTCTCTTATTATTATAAATTTAACTTTCTTTTTATAATTTGTGAAGATATCATCTTACCTTTGTCATACATATTTTATATATATATATTTGAAAGTTAGAACATACTTTAGTTAGATTATTTAATTTTTTACTTCCACCAAGTGACTTCTAACTTGGATTATGAATTAGTGCTGTATTGTGGGCCGGTCTGGGACCGGGACCAGACCGGGCCCGCGGTCTTAACGGGCTAAACGGTCCCGGCGGGCCGGTCCTGGTGGGCCGGTCCCTGATGGTGTAGAAAGCCCGTGGCGGGCTGGTCCCTTGCTTGAGGTCCACGAGACCTGGACCGCTAAGCCCGGGACCGGCAGGCGGTCCTGGGCCGGTTCAACCGGGCCTAACGGTCCTAACGGGCTCCAACGGCTCTTTTCTAAAAAAAAAAATTTTTTTTTTTAAAAAAGTACCAACGGTCAGATTTAAATCTAGCCGTTGGCCTTTAATTTTCAACCGTTTGGAACTTTAAAAAATTAGCCATTTGGCCCCCAAACTTTATTTTAACCCCAAACTTTATATAATTACACTTTTTTCCAATTCTCAACTATAAATACCCCCTCATTCTTTCATTTTTACTCACCAATTCATCAATCTATCTCAATCTCTCTCAATCTATATCTAATTTCTCTTCTATAATTGCTTATTTTATTATTGCAATTTCGTGAAAAATTGTGAAGTTGGTGAATTGAAGTATTCAAGTCTTCAACGATTTTTAATTTTCAAGAAGTTGTTCGGCAATTCGGTAAACTCGTTCCAACTCTTAAGTTTTAAGAATATATTTTTGTGTGTTTAGTTTGCATAATTGTAATTAATATGGCATTTTCTTTGAAAAAAATATTTGGTGGTAAGGGAAAAGCTAAATTGGTGAAAGTAGTCTCCAACCTACTACCCTTCCCCCGGCTCCCCGACCCAGACCTGTTACCCATCCTGCTGCTCCTATTATTCTTGATAGTGATAACCCTTGTTTTCAATTTTCCGATAGTGAATTTTGCCATAATGTTGCACCAGGTGAACAATTAAATGAAGAAGTTATGAATGCTCTTTATCCTAATCAAACTATCTTAGAAAATGATGAGGAAAATGAGGATGTAGATGAAACCCAACCGGATTTAGATGATACACCTACTAGTCCTGTTAATAACCCAACTGATCGCCCCGNTAGATACTGCGGTTAACCCTTAGTACAGGTTCAAATCTAGTTCAACCAGGATTAACACTGTGACCGGTGGTATTTTATATTACGATCCTAATAAAGATCGTGAAGAATTAGCAAAGATGGTTACCGTTATGTGCTTACCCTATACTTTTCCTTCTAACCCTAATTTTGTGACATTATATTAGAAAAGTTTTTAATCCTACTTATAAAGGTTGGCCTCGCACAACAGTTAAGAGCGATATTTATAAATATAAACATGAATATGAACAATATTTGCGGTATTTATTTACTCATATAACTAATCGGATTTCTATTACTACTGATATTGGTAGAAGTAATAATGACTGTGATTATCTAACTGTTACAAGTCATTGGATAGACGAGGAGTGGATAATGCAAAAACGCATTATTGCGTATAGAATAATTAATTCACGTCACACAGGTAAGTTTATTGCTAACACTGTTGCAGATATTTGTAGATATTTTTGCATTAGAGATAAAATAATGGCAATTTCTATGGATAATGCTTCTAGTAACACTAGTGCTATAGGTATACTTACAACAACACTAAATCCTGCATTTAGTAATTGTTTCCATGTGAGATGTATTTGTCATATTTACCATTTAATCATCGGTGATGGTATGAGAATTTTAAACTTAGAAATTGAAAAGGTTAGAATGGCTCTTAATTGGCTTTTTTATTCAAACCGTAGAAGTAGACTTAGAGAGTATTTTAAAAAATGTGATGAATTTGGCCTTAGAGAAAGAAAGGTTCCTAAACCTTGTCTAACTAGATGGAATTATATGTACGAAAGTTTAGTAGTTGCATATGAATATAGAAACCCAATTAATGCAACGTTTAATGCTCGTGTTGGTGGTGAGGATGATGATGAAATCCTTACAAATCAAGATTGGACGAATGTTAAAATTCTTATAGATTTTTTAGAACATTTTCAAATTGCTACAAATGCATTTTCTGGGCAATATTATCCTACTATTTCAAATTGTTTAGTTTATATTGCAGCACTATGTGATTTGTTTGTTGAATTTTCGGAGGGTGGGAAAATTTATAAACTTGCTATAAATGCAATGAAAGAAAAGTTTAAAAAATATTTTTTCCATATCCCCCCTATTTATGGTGTTGCTGCAATGTTAAATCCAACAATGAAATTAGGAGGTCCTCACTTTTGGTACTCAAATATTTATAAGGCTTTAGATCTTTCAGTTGAGGAATTTTCTACACTTGCAGAGGCAAAAGCCTCAATTAAAATAAATGCTCAAACAATTTATAATGCTTATCAACTTGCGTTAGATCATGCTAGGCACTTCGTCTAGTTCACAATCATCTAAAAGAGCTGCGGGCCTAAAGGCACTTAAATCTTGGACGGAGTTTAGGGGTTCTCAAGGTGATAATTTTGATGAGACTTCACATCTAAATGAGCTTCAAGTTTATTTGTCGCAGGGACTTGAAAAGGAGAATCCAGACGGCACCTTTGATCTTTTGGAATGGTGGAAGGCAAGGGAAAAATATTTTCCGGTTCTTGCAAGGATTGCTCGGGATATTTTATCTATTCAAGCTTCAACAGTTGCATCAGAGAGCGCTTTCAGTCAAGCAAGACTTCAAATAGGTGATCATAGAGCGTCTATGAGGGAGAGCTTGGAAAAATCAGTACTATTCAGAGATTGGATCCGCTCGGAAAGAAGAAACTCTGGACTTGCAGAATCACAACCGGAGATAGGCGAAGCTTATGAAGATGATAGCGGAACTTGCGGAGGATGCTGCTTCGCCCGGAAGCGGTGATGAACAAGCTTCTTTTCCGCCACCACCAACAGAACCTCCTCCGAACCTTGAAGGATTTATGAGATTTGTTAGAGATACAATGTAGATTATGGTGTAACTTGTACTTTGGCATATCTTCTTTAGTTTTTTTTCCTTTTAATGGTGGTATTAGTACCTTGTTGTGCTCATTCCATTGGGGGGAAGAAGACTAAGAAAGATATGCCATTTTTGGTAATAAAAATTATAAGACATGCCCTTGAATATCTCTTTGCAATATTTTTTTGTCTTTAACTTGCAATTATTTATAAGCTATAATATATATACATAACATACAATATATACTACAAGAAAATATATATACATAACATACAATATATACTACAAGAAAATATATAAGGGAATATATATACATAACATACAATATATACTAAAAGAAAATATATAAGGGAATATATATACATAACATACAATATATACTACAAGAAAATATATAAGGGAATATATATACATAACATACTATATATAGTATACTATACTAGTATACTATATATATTATATTTACATGAAGAAGTAGTACTATATATACTACAAAACAAGATTTTTCAAAATGAGGGCCCCACCCCCAATGACCACCAACGGTCATATTAATTGCACAAATAGCCGGTTTTTTTTTCCAATTTACAAAACTAACCTTCTCTAACACTATAAGTACCCCCCTCCCTCTTCTTCATTTCAATACTCAATACTCATTTCTCAATCTAAATTTCTCTCAATCTCTCAATCTCCAATTTTCAAGACTTCAAGTCTCAATCTCAATTTTCAAGTTAAATCATGCCTCGTTCGGAAAGAGTGCGCTTATTTGTTTCGCAATACTATGAAGTGCTTGAAGAAAATGAAGAAGGCCAAATATTAAAGTGCAAGAACTGTGGAAGAGTCTTAAATTTTCGTTCAGGGTGTACCACAGGCATTTTAAGGAGGCATATTGAGGGTATTTATCCGCAAATTCGTCTTTAAGATTTTTCAACAATTTGTGTTATTTTAAAATTATTAGACGTATTTATGCTTCATGTTGTACTTTGTTATTAATTTATTATGCATGCCAATTTAGTTTTACTATTGATTTGTTATTTTACATTTTCGTCAAACACTTTAATAATTAGATTTCTATATTATATATACTACATATATTTATATAGCCATGCATAAGAGCAATTTATATATATACATACACATATGGTTTACAAGAAATTGCCTTAAATAAAAAAAATTAAAAAAAAGCCCGAAAATCAAAAAAGCCCGTTAGGCCCGCTAAGCCCACGAGCCCGGCCCATTTAGCCCAGGACCATATGGGCTTAGGCCCGTCACGGGCTGGTCCTACCCGTTGAGCCCACGAAGCCCGGGACCGCCAGAGCCCGACCCGTTTAGCCCGGCCCGTTTAGCCCATTTAGGCCCGGCCCCGGCCCACCATACAGCCTTATTATGAATGATGCTGTAAAATTCTCATATGCTTAATTCCTTCAAACTATATAAAGGCATGTTAACTAATTAACTAAAATAAAACATAGAGTAATGCTTATATATTCCGATATTTTTATGGTCCTCACGCTCACGGTCCACAATATGGTGATACGTGCTCTGACCCTAAAAAAAATTGTGGTTTCCATCAATTTGGCTATTGCAAGATCTATTCTACTCTTCAATTTAATATTAAAGATACTCTTATATGTGAAGAAAAAGGAAAAAGAAAAGAAAAAACCCCAGAGAATACGCAACATCATCATCAATATCATTATTATATCATCATCATAATCGCCACTCGCCATCAGAGACAGATATATCTCTCAGCTCTCATTTTCTCTCTCTGTTGATTTTCAGCTTTTCTAGAACATACCCACATTTCCCATCTCTTCTCCTTCGTTTATATACATATATATAAAATTATAAAACCCATCATATAAGTTACTCTTCAATCCCTTTCCTCTTTGTTTGTTTCATCAAAGATTTGACCCTTTTCGTTTTTGATCCATGATCATTCCCTAATTTGGGATTTAAATGCAATTTAGGGTTCCCAAAATTGAGTCTTTTTATTTTGTAGCTGAAGCTGAAGAAGAATTGTGTAATTTCAATCTAAGTCAAAGGGGGTCTTTTCATTTTGTGGGTATTAAGAAAAAAAAAATATGCTAGCTTTGAAGCAACTCAAGTGTGTGGTGATGCTTGATGCTTTGAGTTGTGTATGTACTGCTATATAATTGGATTTGGTTTTTGGTTCTTTCTTGGATTTGAATGCTGGAATAGTTGGTTCCCGAGCCAGGGGCTCGGGTTTTGATTGTATCATATTTTGGGATATCAGTACAAAATTTTACCAATGGCAACTTGTGATATGGAATCTCAACATCACCAGGAGCAAGACCAGTTTTCACCAATTCGACAAGGGTTTATGCAGAAATTCAGGCTCTATCAAACTCTATCGGTAATAATTCATTCTCTTATTGCAGGGGATCAAAGGGTGTACTTAAAAGTGTGTCGCAAGTAGTTAAAGACAGTCCAAAAGTTAACAGCTCAGTCAAACTGCATTGCCCAAGTTCGAATCTCATGTGGCGGATTGATCACTTGATTTAGCTAATTCGAATCAAGATCTTATGATATATTTGACCATTTTGACCTCCCTCTAGGATAATAATAGTTATTCAGTTTATGGAGTGCTAACAGTGCTTTATATTTGATTATGGTAATTTGTATTGATTCATAGGATAGTCTTAACCTGGCAATTATGGGGCGTTTCATTCCCTTATTCGAAAATGAGCCTGTCAAATCTCCACTAGCTGGCATGTATTGTTTTGTTAGTACCTTCTTCTTCATCAAATAATTTTAATTACTTTCTATAACCTGTCAGGCGACCTTCAACTTGCTATGCTATTATAACACAATCTTCCTTATTTATCTGTTCAAAGTGCAATGAACTTATGGAACAATGGCATTGTGTGTGTATGGTGTATTTGGGGTCCATTTCCGTCTTAGTGTCTTGTCCATTTTTTATATTCTTCCCCTTTTCTCTCGTAAAAGTCTTCTCAATTGACATACTTTTATTCGTTGGAAAAAAACTGTTGCAGAAATTTTACATGATAGGAAGGGACAAAAGTAGAACACACTGGAGAGTGTTGAAAATTGATAGGATGGAGCCTTCTGAGCTTAACATACGTGAAGATTCCACTACCTATACTGAACGTGAGTGCTCTGACTTGTTGAGAAGGATACACGAGGGTAACAGGTCTACAGGAGGTCTGAAATTTGTCACTACCTGTTACGGCATTGTTGGTATGTGAATTCCTGGGTTTGACTTTTCAGATACAAGAGGGTTCCATTCATCTGATATCAGTTATCTCTATGCTCTTTATTAGGGTTCATCAAATTTCTGGGGCCTTATTACATGCTTCTTATCACAAAAAGGAGGGAGATTGGCGCTATTTGTGGTCACTCTGTGTATGCTGTCACTAAGAGTGAAATGATCCCGCTTCCAAATGCCGCAACAAGATCAAAGATGGTTAATTATAGGAGTGAAAACAGGTTTGTCTTTTTCTATGTTTGGGTTCTCTTTGTCTGATATTGATGTTGTATATGGTCCATTGCAATTTAAACTTTTCTAGTCATCTATATATTCTGGTTGTTTTTTGTTTGATTTTTTACTGGTGGAAATCACCCTTTTTTACTTCAATGATAGAAGATTAGGCAGCAAACTATAAGAATGTTGAAATGAGTTTGAAAGCTCCCACTTCCTGCAAGTGAAGCTGAAGGTTAGGCACCATCCACCTCTCTCAGTTCCCCTGCATTGGTGGTACACCTTGGTTAATTGCATTTTAACCCAGTTTGCTGTACATCAAACGTTCTCTCGATATTTCTGACCTTGTCGACTGCACAAATTTGAGATTCAGGTCCAAAATCCAAATTGGACCATCTGTCAATGTCATTGGTTTATATGTCAGTGCAATATTATGTTTACTATCTTGACAGTGAGCTTTGGTGTGGTAGAATTCAAATGCGCATATTTTTCTTAGCCTTAGGTGTTAACTTCTCCTGCTGTTCTTGCTTATTTGACAGCTGGAATGTGGAGTCTGTTGAATGCCACTGAGTAATTATGCAGTTTTAGTTTGAGAGAAGTTCATGCATTAAGGTGTCATTTGGTTATCGGGATTAGAAAAATAATCTCGTATGAAATTTGATAATCTGTATTGTGTTTGTTTGGCATGTCATTTCTGGTATAAGCGATAGTAGTATAATTTTATACCACAATGCCGGCATTAGTTTATATAGAATTCAACATGGGATAACTTATATGAGGATCAGCTTTACGAGGATGAAGCTCATAAAAGACTAAAATAACGTTGATTTTATCTTTTCTTCGTCAAAACATTGATTTTATCTTTTTTACTTTTTTATTAAGTTAAAATTATTTTTAGACTTTTGTATTATGCACCATATATCCCATTCTTAATGCAATGAACCAAGTGTCCACCAAAAACATATGCATAGTGATTATTAAATTTTGCTTCTTCCAAAAAAAGTGATTATTAATTTTTGTATTGCAATTCCTGCGTCATAATCCCCATATAACTTTGTCTATGAACCGTTTAAAGGTCTGTTTGGGAACTTAGATATCTGGACTAGACCTAATTCTATCATATAATCTAATCTAGTTTGAAGTTCATCTGGATCTACTCCAATTTGTCTTTTAACTTGGATAAAAGTTTGATGCTACTTGTGATGTTGCTCACTAGCATGTGGGCTGTGCAGAAAGAGAAAGTTGGGAGCGCTTTCGAAGTGGGCACATGATGATTTTGTACATTTTTGAGGAATTCCCTCTTATCCGTTTTATTCTTTGGGTGCGCTCATGAGGTTCTAATGTGTATAAAAGACCGGATGTCTTTCCTAGAGAATCATATTTCCTCATAAGTTCTCTACTTTTTGGTATACTGCTTGTATACAGGAGTTTCTTTTCCATCATTAATAGAATTATTTCACTTTATCAAGAAAAAGTTAATTAGGAATCTCAATCGTGTTGGCAAATTATTGGTTCTGATTTACTGTTAATAGGTCTGCAATTTGTTAATATGGTATGTAGTAGTAAATTATTTTATTAGATAGAGATGACATATGCATGCACATTCAATGCCTTCTAGCAAAACATCAAAATTGAATAAAATACGAAACCCTTCCCCCC